TGTGAAAATGTCGAGAACAAGACCAAGGGGAGAGGGACTTACAGAATAGAGGACCAGAAAGTAATGCTGTACCAGTTCTATCAAGGCAGTTTTAGTGGGGAAGTTAAACAGATCATAATACCAACAGAATACCGGAAACAAGTGATGAAGTTGGCTCATGAGTCAATTGTGGGAAGGCACCAAGGAGCAAAGAAGACAGCAGGTAGAAGCACCAGCAACTTCCATTGGTCAGTGTTCATTGGAGATGTGACCAGATTCTGTAGGTCATATGATATCTACCTAGAGGGAAGGTAGCTAAGGTGCCACTGGATAAGATGCCTGTTATAGAAGAGACATTCAGCAGAGTAGCTGTGTACTTGACCAGACCACTAGCACCTATATCCAACAAGGGCAACTGGTATATGTTGACATTAGTAGACTATGCAACAAGTTAATCAGAAGACATAGCACTGCGAAAGATAGAGATGGAGAGAGTACTAGAAGCCCTCCTGAAAGTGTTCTGCAGAGTAGGCTTTCCAAAGGAATTCTTGAGTGACAGTGGGACTCAGTGTGCCTCTGAACAGATGCAAGAGGTATGCAGACTCATCAGTATTTGGCAGCTCCTTTCCACCCCACACAACCTCAGCTGTAAAGGATTTTAGGTGAAAGTCAATGGAGCCTTAAAAGCAGATGTGCCAAGAGAGACCACATTATTATCTGCTTACCAAGAAGTCCCACAAGCGAGTACATGATTTTTACCCATCAATTTACTGTATGTAAGAACAGTATGAGGTCTGATTGAGATATTGAAAGAACTGTGGACAGGAGAAGAAGAGTCAGAAGTGAGGAATACACACCAGTACACGTTAGACTTCAGGAACTGACTGGAGTAGACCTGTCAACTCACTCAAGAAAGTTTATATGCAGCACAAGGCAGTCAGAAGCACTTATATGACAAGAAGGCCAATTATCTATGTTTCAAGGTCGGATAGAAAGTGTTAGTTCTTCTACTCACAGACAACAACAAATTCACCCTGCAGTGGAATGGACTTTTTGAAGTAGAGGAAGTGGTCAAGAGAATGTACTACAAGGAGAAAGTGGATGAGAAGACCAAGTTCTACCATACCAATCTTTTGAAGAGGTACTTTGAGAGGGAAGAAGACCTAATAGATGCAGCTATTGAAGCAGAGATGATCATTGCAGATGGGGCTGTCATATATACAGAACCTGAAGACAGCAATCTTCTCATAGAAGATGAAGATTTATTAGATGTAAGACTGCTGGGTGGAGATGAGACATACAAAGATGTCAACATCAGTGAAGAACTTACTGGCAAGACAGACCTTCTGCAACACAAGATCGAGACCACAACCAGGGTTCCAGTCAAGGTGAAGCCCTACCATATGCCTTATGGAATGAGAGACCAAATCAAGAAAGAAGTTGAGGCAATTTGAGAAGCTGGAATCATTGAGCCTTCAAAGTCAGCCTACTGTTCACCAGTTGTATCTGTGAAGAAGAGGGATGACTCAAATTACTTCAGATTTGTTTATGTAACTGTGTATGAATCATATGTTGTGTAGTTCAATTGTTGTGAAATGGCACATGTTGTATTTTTGCATCATGCTACTATAAATTTCGAAGTTTTCTCGTTGTTTCAGTTGAGTATTATTGCACAGTGTGTAGGATATTCTAGGCCTCTGTCAGTCTATAAAAGCGTGTACAAATAACAAAGTTATTTAGGTAGGTAAATAGCTAGAGCTATATTGTTTGTTTGCCATTTTAGCCATAAAGAGCGTATAGTGGCGCTTTTTTAAAAGGGAAATTATCTCAGATTGTGTTGTAATAACCAAGTAGAGAAGAAGAATTTGTCTTGTCAATAGTGTTCTAATAAATTGAACAAACCTGTATAGACTTTTGATGAAAAGAGATACGATTATTTAAAGCTCTGAATGCAACTGCGGTGATTAACTGTGTAACGAAAAATTATATATACATTTGACTTGTTTTAATATATCATTTTAAAACAAATTGTTGAACGTTATCGTCAACAAGTCACAGATACCTATTGTAAAGAATTCTGCCCATCCATATATAAAAACCTGACAACTATATGAATAACAATGTCTTTGATCTATAAAAGTTACTGATAACTACATGAATTACAAAGTTCAAATATATAAAAGGTACACAATTTAAGATGTCTAAAGGCATTATCAGACAGTTATGTTTTTCATGACGAATTTCCTCTATTTTACTGCACTGCACATAGGTATAAATGTACATTTTTTATTTGTGTGTACAGAGGCCACTTATGACTGTTGGGATACCTTAGATGCAGCTGTATTTTTAATGTTTCTCATCCAGATTTTACCTCATAGTACCAATCTCCCCTTCAGGTTGTTTTTGTCTTTGTTTGTTTATTTTTGAATTTTGCATAAGGGTACTCAAGGGCTATCTGCACTAAACATCCCTGATTTAGCAGTGATAGACTAGAGGAATGCTACTAGTCAACACCACCCACTGTCAACTCTTGGGTTATTCTCTTTTACCAATGAATAATAGTACTGACCATCACATATAACGTCCTCACAGCTGAAAGTGTTAGCATGTTTGACGACATGGATTCGAATCCGCGAGCTGTAGATTGCAATTCGAGCACTCTAACCTCCAGGTCATCCCAGACCCTCACACATATACATAGATAACCCCTAAAATATTCATTGGTTCCTGTTGCGTTTCTCTTTGAACAATCCAAAATATACATGGCAAAATACTTAATATATACTGTCATGCTAACAAATCGTTAGAGATAGAAGATGTGAAATATCATACAGCAGAACTTTTCATCATACTTGTTTTGTGTGTGTGTGTGTGTGTGCATTTTCATTTCACGTAAAATTTCATCGTTTCTTAAAGTAAATCCAGTGAGTTTGATACTTTCCTTCATTTGAAATGCAGAATAGTCAATAGAGGTGCATAAGCTGATAAAGAAGGTTCTTTCAATACTCATATGAGATATAGTATTGGTTCGATTTAACTATAATGAGATTTTAAAAATCGACAGCAACATTTAAGAAGCTAAACCTTCCAAGGAAATACATTTTAGAATGAATAGTAAATGTATGCATTTGGAATCTCTGATTCACATTTTAAAAACGACTTTCCTAGTTACACTTGTGTTTTTCTCAAGATCATGATACGATTTTCACCTTTTTTAGCCTCTTCCATTTAGTACTAGTATATTTTCATGGTTTGATCCTCTGTAGACTTGTATTATAGTTTGCATGTACTTATAACTTATAAATGTTATCTTTATTATGACCATTGATGGTGATAATATAATGACTGGTTCAACACAAAGAAATTGGTCTAAATAAAAGATTGATCACAACCTTATTTATCAGTATCCCCATGATTGAACATATTCACCCCTTCCAGCCATGAGGGTGCTATAAGGAAGACATCTGCTATTTATGTTTTCAACCTGTGTATTGCTAGTAACCGTATTCACAGATAATTATTGTTTAGATATTAGCTAGATGTCTCGTTCATAAGAGTCCTTATTTTGTCTATTTTTTCTTATTGACTGATAACCTGCTATTTTAAATGTATGGTGATTGTATAGCAGTAGTTACGGAAGTACTTTACTGTCCAAAGGATACTGCCTCATGCTGATTGGCTGCCTCAGGGAGTGGGGGTGCAATGATGTAACCATAGATGATGACGTCATAGTTCCACAAAGTGTCACCAGAGGGTGCATTGTTAGGGATGTGTTGCTAGTCTGCCATGACGCATGACGTCATAGTTCCACAAATTGTCACCAGAGGGCTCAGCTATCTTAGAGAGGATTATAATTATAGTTCGATATCAGACAGACAGCTATGACATAATAGTTCTATGAAGTATATATAGATTTGGTCATGACTATATTTGATACAGTCGGTTTAAATCGCTAATTTATTAGTTAATTAAATTTCCTGACCATTGATATGTCCTATAAAGGAGGTTTAACACTAATTCGTCAGTTCTATACATTTCCTGACCATTTATATGTCCTGAAAAAGGATGCTTAACACTAATTGATTAGTTACATACATTTCCTGACCAGTTATATTTAAATCATTGTAAAGGATGATATCATGAAATAATTAAAACTTGTTTTTGATTCTTTAATTATAAGTTAGGTGATTATTCCATTTATTTTCAGTGATTATATAATATGCAAGACAAAATATTTCATTTTACATGTGATACTTTTATAATTTTATCTTACACGAGCTATACAAGGGTGGACACTACACTTCCACATATGATCAATGTCTATATTTAATTATGTTAAAACCATTATTTTAACTACTGTCCATAGGATTTTAACAAATAGGCTATGACAGTGTTACTATACTTCTACATATGATTACATAATCAATGTCTTGGTTTAATTCTGTTAAAAACCATTGTTTTGCATATTTTAATATCTGTACTAATACAATTTACTACAACTCGCCCCCCAGTGGCACAGCGGTATGTCTGCGGACTTACAACACTCGAAACCGGGTTTCGATACCCGTGGTGGGCAGAGCACAGATAGCCCTTGTGTAGCTTTGTGCATAATTAAAAAACAAAACAAACAATACTAAAAATAACAAATTATTGACTTACTGTTTATCCATCCATTTTCTATAGAATATTCCCTTGATGATTAAAATTGCATAAAACTTTGAGACAGTCTAACGATATTAGGAACTGATCACTTGCAAACACACTTCCAAATTTCTCTATGGACACAAAACTTCTGAATTTCTAAACTGTTCATAGGTTCTTTCAGACAATATTCTGTAGGACACTTACTGTTTTGCTTTTACAAGTAAAACATACATATCATTTGAAGGAGACAGTTATTATAATCAATAATTTACTTTTATCATCTTACAATTAAATATAATAAATGAACAACTTACTGTTTAACTTTACTATTATTTAAGTGAGAATAATTTATTACAGTGACTATAATTGCACTTAGAAATATTGGTGGGAAGCTTTTGAGAGAAAGCTGTGAAGAAGGTCAGTGAAGGGAAGATGAAGATCTTCTTTTCCAGTAGTGATGATGAACAGATGTTGCAGCTGTTGATGATGTGAAGAGTCGAGGCAAGACAGAAAGATCCAGCCACGAATATTAAGTTTACATCATATGAATTTAGGAATTGATTTTATTTTGATTTTAAGTAGACACTGTTGCAATGGGTGTTATAGAAATGAATTGAATCGAATTGAAGTTGGATTGGAGGAATTTTTCAGGGGGTGGGGACCATACGGTTCAAAGTCCAGGTGTACTTTGTTGTTGGGGGAAACTGGAGTGCCCAGAGAAAAATCCACTTTCACAGGACAGACGCCGAATAATCTATCTGCCCTGTGCACTGGCTGTAAAAGAAAACATGATGGTTAGTAATGACAACATGACATAGTGTTCAACCCTCTGTGTGTGTTTTATTCTTTGTTTTTCTGTTGTTGTTTGTTTGTTTTGTACCTGTAGATTAATGTTGATGGAATTATGATGATTCTGAAACGTTTAATTGTACATTCCATTATACTGTTACTGTTTAAATTGTTCTTTCTAAACTTCTGATTGAATACGAAAATTTGCTCAATGCTAATGTTGTTTTTTGAAGTCTGAATATTGTTAACTAATTTTTTTGAGATATTAACGATGATGATGGAATTTAAGTAAATTCCAAAACGTCCATATTAAATATTTTTTTTTGATATTACCGTGATTTTAATATTTATAATAAATTTCGTTTCCCATCTGATGAATTACTTGCAAATACAAAGTTATTCCAAAATTCCTGACCTGCAAGACCACTAAACGAAATCTTCAAGGCTCTTCTGCTTATCGTTGCTATCAAAGAAGGCTGTTGGTAGAAGAATTGAAAATTGAATATCGCCAAGAAGAGCAACTAACTAATCAACATACTGCAGCCAGTCTTGAACTTAAGAAGAATATTTCGTGGATTGACTTTCATCATCTCACCAATCTGATTGAAAATCTGAACCTGAAAAACCATCGCCAGACTTGAACAAACCAAAATGTCAAGCTTAGAAAACTAATTCCAGTGACAAAATCTAGTAACATAAATCATGATAATGTTGTTTTCAATTTTAGTGATCTTACCTTAAGTGAACAATGTCAAAATGCTCTGTGAAAAGGTTGACATTTTTGTCTATCTACTTACCCATAAACTAAGTTTCTTAAGTTACTTTATTCCATTTGGATGTTTCTACAGAACTCTTAAACCCTTTCCTAATTTTAACAAAAATAACACCAAATATAGAATGGCTATCAAAACTTAATTTAAAAATGCAGCATTATCTTCCTATAACTTCAACGTCCCTATTAAATATGTTTTTGGTATTACCATGTTTTAATATTTAATATAAAATTTCGTTTTCCACCTGATGAATCAGTTGCAAATACTGGAAACTATTTGTGACGGGTTAGGTTCAGAATTTTTGTTTAGTGGCTGTTTATAGAGTCTTGGCCAAAATGTTTGTATACTGTTCTATATTGATGTCATTGTCTACATGTATGGAGTAGTTATTGAATAAATGCCTGAGTTGTAACAGAAAAGGTAGTGTATGATCAGACAAACATGCATGAGTTGTTATTTTGATCTGTATAGGTTGTATTTAGTACTTTTTTCTCAAAACACACAGACACACCTATTTTGTTTAAACGGGTGTGCTTTTGGTATAATCTTTTTCGAAACAGATCAACGCTTTGTTCAGACATTTTCTAAAGAGATTCTCCCCAAATCAGTAATCACTAGGAACTGTAAGAGCAACCAGCAGACTTTTCTGTCAAGATTACGCATATTTCGATGTATAAATGTCAAAAGCATCAGATTCAAAATTTATTTGCCAGTATAAGGTAGTAAAATGCTTGACGTGCTACCACTGGAGTAGATGTGGATGCAACAATGGCGGGTTACCAGTTACAGAGAAAGCAGTTTGTAAAAGAGGCCAGAAAAGAATTTCCGTTAGTTTAAATAAAAATTCCAAATGGCTGAAGAGAAGTACGTCGACCTACAGACCTGGTATGTCCAAAAATCGTGAACAGCCATGACCAGAGCGGTAAGAATGGTTAACTTTGAAGCGATATAAAATCACTACGACCACTATATTCGTATGAAAAGCCACAGCAAAATACTCCACAGATCAAGCTCTCCAAATTTCTGCAATTTATTCCAACTCTTCCAGATTTCCGGGTGTCATACTGACCCTACTTTCCTACCGAAAATTACACAACTAGACCAGTTGATTCAGAGATTCGGTGTTAATAGCATCAAAAATCGTGTTACTTAGGTAAATGATTATTTCATATTCAGCGTATGTCTCAAACATTGAATAATTGGGGTCTCTTTAATGTTTCAAGGTCCATCATTAGTAACACTGCACAATATTTTTAAATCTTTGGCACTGAATAAGCCTTAGAATAATAGAGGTAAGAAGAACTCATTATATTGAATGCCAAATAGTTTTACATAAGCATGGAGAGAGATAGAAAAATCAACCTGTGGATCGCATGTTACTTTCTTTACAGTGTAGTAAAAAAAGATTAAAGAAAACAAGAGCTTTGGAGTGTTTAATTGGTAAAACAAAACAAAACAAAATTTTTAGGCAGACTTGGAGTTTAAATACAATTGTAAAAGAAACTTGTTAAAACAAAGCTATTAAGAAAGTTTGAAGTTTTTGTTTTGTTTTTTAACTGAAACCACTAGATACTTGTAAATAGAAAAGTATGAAACCCAGAAAATTTAGGCACCTTACACTTCTGTAGATAAGATTTTCTAAGAAAGAACTTCGTATTCCTAAAGTTCTTGGTGAAATACATCAAAATCAGGGCACCAAAATCATATAAAATTAACAAATGAACAAATAATGAGATACTCCTAACATAATAAAAGTATCTTAGTAAAGGCTTTATATCTGTATAGCACAACGAACTTCAGAACAAAATAAAGTTAATGTTCATTCTAGTGATTTTGAACGTGAAATGTAATTCCACATGTACACAGCGTGGTCACAAGTAAATAGACACCATCTTTTCAGAAAAAAAATA